TAGAAATCAGAAACTGAGTTATCATGCCTGGTATGCCTTTCATTCCCTCACAACATAAATTCCCTTATGACCCTTGAAACATGCAGATTATTTACAAACCAATGTGTTGGTTTGTACATAGGAACAAGTGCAATGTCCCTGTGGCTATACCCTTGTGCTCTATGCATATCCAGTTACCTATTTATTATTTTCATTCAACAGTGGATTTAACAGTCTCCTTGCTAGGCTCAAATAATGATTAAGCCCTGACTCTTAAGCTAAAGGAACTCACTTTCTACATGGAGAGTTAGACAGATACCTAAATAATTGTTATGTGTGTTCTATTATACGTGATAACCACTTAGCCAGACATAATCAGAAAATGTTTCACTGAAGATGCATTATTTCTGCTGGCTTTGGAAAAAATTAAGGGTTTTTCCAGCTCGAGAACAAACAGAAAGATATTCTAGGAATAGAGAATAGCATAATCCAAAATACAGAATCATAAAATGTTGTCTTTTCAAATTTATTTGTATTAGCATGAACCATATTAGCAATAATGGATACGAATACTGATTATATAAAGTGTTCTACACATATTTTCTTTAACATATGTTTCAAATTCAAAATAGCACTTAATGATATTATTCTCTTGTGGATTTTTTCGTAGGTTATTAGGAAAGGAAACTAAATGAAGGTATAGATTGAAAAATAAAGCATGTTTGTAATGGTTCTGACAATGCTTTAGTTTTCTGGGCCTGCTGTAATCAAATACCACAAATCAGGTGGCTTAAAACAAAAAGAATTTATTCTCACAGTTCTAAAGGGTAGAAGTCTAAGGTCACTGTGTAGGCAGGGCCTTGTTCTGCTCTGAAGGCTCTAGAGAAAAATCCATCGTGGTCTCTTCTTGCTTCTAGTGGTTGCCAGCAATCTTTGGTGTTCCTTGGCTTATGGCAGAATAATTTCAATTTCTGCCTTCATCTTCACCTGAGCATCTTCTCTCTGTGTATGTCTGGGTCCAAATTTCGCTCTTCTTATAAGGGCACTAATCACAGGATTAGGGCCCACCCTAATCCAGTATGACCTCGTTTTATCTTGATTTCATCTGCAAAGACCCTACTTGCAAGTAATGTCACATTCACAAGGT